CATTATAATATAATAAATAAATAAAAGAAAGAGATAAATTTTAAAATTTAAAAATATGAAAAAAAATCAAATTTTAATTTAATATCAAAGTAAAAAAAACGCATACTTATTTAAAAAATCACTTGAAATGAAAAAAAATCACTAAATACATTTTCATTTGAGAAATTATCTAAATATAATTATAAAAATATCAGTACTCACAAATTATATATAGAAGTTGAAAAAAATTTAAAATATAATTTAAAATAAAAAAAATAATACTTAAAATGATAAAAATTTAAACTAATTTCTAAAGATTTTCTTGTTATTTAAAAATTCTCATTAAATAATTAATACTCACAAATTACACATACATATTTATATTAAATTAATTTAAAAATATTTAATTTGTCAAAAATTATTTAGAATAAAAATCAGAACAAAGACTTAAAAATACTCTTGTTTCGGAGACCAAATAACCTAATAATATTATCATTAATAAATTAATATTCACAAATTATATATAGAAATATATATATATATATATATATATATATATATATATATATACTAGTGTTTAATCTTGTACAATACACGAAATAATTTATAATATTAAAATTTAAAAATTTGATTACTAAAATATAATGAAATAAATTTAAACTATTTAATAATTAAATTTACATATATTTGTCACATGTATTATTCTATTTTTATCATCAACTTTATTAAATATATATATTATATTAATTTTATCAAATAAATATTTATATTAATATAAATATTTTTTTCCTGTGATATATATATATATATATTCTTATATATGCATTTATTTGTTCAATGATATAAATTTTTATAATAAATTTTTTCACTTCTTAAAAAATTTATTCATTATAAAAGTAAAATAATAGAACTTAAAAAAATGAGTATATCAGTTTTTTATAAAATTGAATTTATTTAATTAGTAATATTAAAAAAATAATTTAAATTATTTTTTTAATTCTAATTTAATATACTAGAAGTTGATATAAAAATTTAAATCTAATTTAATATAAAATAAAATAAATATTTAATCTACATAAGAAAATATTACTTAAAATGATAAAAATTTGAACGCTCTGTTGTTACTTAAAAGTTGTCATTGAATAATTAATACTCACAAATTATACATAGATATTTATATTAAATTTAAAATATTTAATTTATCAAAAAGTATGTAGAATGATGAAAATCAAAACAAACATCTAAAAATGTTTTCGTTTCAGAGATTAAATAATCTATTTATATTATCATTAATGAATTAATTAGTATTCATAAATTATGTATAGAAATTGATATTTGTTGAGGAAAATTGTGCAATATCCAGTGTAGTGAAAAATCTGACAATCCTTAAATTGAAAAGTTATGCTTATGTTTTTATATAATAAATTAAATATTTCAATGACCCTCATCTTATCCAATGACAAGATTTGGTTCAATAGAGATACTGATTCCATTATCACAAATTTTATCTTCACTTTTTACAAAAACATAACATCAAAATTTGTGTACACCTCTTTTTACGGGACATATCCAAACTTACTTTGTTACAGGACGTTTAAAACACCTTAAAAACTTAAAATTACATAATTCAATATAGAAATCACAATCTAATATAAAAATTACAACTAATAGCATTAAAATAAATTTAATTTATTAATTTTGAATACAAATTATTAGTAAATTAATTTTTTTCAGTGCCTTTGATCTATCGTTTCTAAATTGATTTTACAATTACTACCAAAATACAGGAGAGGAAAAAGAAATGCTGCTACAAGCCTGTAATACTTTGGGATACTGGTTCTACTATTCGATTTATACAGAAAGTGCCAATTTGGCTCTGCAGCAATCTTTTGCTCAGTCAAAGAATGAGGCAAAAGTCCTTCGAGAGAGGCACTGTCTTGAAGCAAATATTGAAAGGATACTTGTAATTACAAAGTCAAGTTGTTTAAATACCAAAAAAATGTAGTTATTAATTGTTAATAATCTTGGACTACGCTAACTTATCGATTTTAATCCATTCAAATAGGCAATGTGTGATTAGTGCTGTACAACTTGTCGATCTCTTAACCAATTTCTTCATATTTAGCACAAGACAGAATAGTTTTTGCAATTACAAATAAGGTAAGTTATTTGTAACGCTATATATATATATATATGCTGACGACATGACATGTATTGGAACTCTCTGTGGGTCATTGATGTTGGCCATTGGAACCCATCCCTTGATTCCTGATTTTACAATCTACAAAAGTAAAGCATTTTAGGTTGCATCACAGATTAGGCCCAACTTATGATAATTGATGCCTCCTAGTACATCAGAAAGTTGCATTATTAGTACTGATCGAATATACATATCCTTTTAGCTCAACCAGCAAGTTCTTTGGTGAATTTTTTTATGCATAGCAAACTGTCATGTGTTGAATTGGTGGATATTCCATTGTAAGGTTGTAATTTAAATCTCATTTTGGCTACTTTTAGAATGTTGGGCGTGCGTTGAACTCATTATATACATACGCATTCATGCCAGCTTCAACCAATGAAAACAAAGTGATTTTCATCTTTGGCTGCTGTATGCTTTACCACAATACCATTGTTTCCTTCAGAATCCAGGTTATTGGTAGCACAGGAATTGAATTTGCAAACTATGGATCAGTTTCTCAAAATGTAAAAAAAACAAAAAAAAAATAAAGTAAATCAATTAAATTTTTTAAAATTAAAATAAGTTATATAATTAATTTTTAAAAAGCTAAAATGAGAAAGCTTATAAAAGAGGTAAAATGTATAAATTAATTTTAATTTTATATAAAAATAGACTCTGTAATCTTATGTATAATAAATAGGTCTGACCTGTTTAATTAAAATTTAGATTAAATTTGAAAAATTTAAAAATTAAATAAATCATTTATAATTAGGCTGAATAGAGTCAGTTTAGACAAGTCACAACAATAATATTTTCTTTAAAAAAGATAAAAAAATTTCTATCTGGTAAAAAATTAGATTTATTTAAAAAAATCCTGTCAGATAAGAAAAACAGAGTGATAGAAAAATTTAGGACCTGATTCCTTCAGAAAATATCTTTTATGCAGGAAACGCTGAAAATAATTTCCTCTACTTCGTCTATGTTCCAAAAATCCTTATAAGTAAAAGTTAAATAAAAGTGATATATATTTTTTTAAAAATCAAATAGTTTCTTATTTTGATCGGTTCTTGCACAAATCTTTTAGAAATGAAAACAAGTTTCATTTTTTACAATTAAAAATAAAAAATATTTTCTTAGACTAAATTATCTATCATTTCCCTAATTTTAAAGATTTAAACATGGTGAGTGGTACACAACGGAGGGTTGGCGAAAAGCAGGAAGTTACAGTTGTCTATTGAGGAGTGAAACAAAAGTGGTGAATCAAGCCTTTTGGAATTGAAGGTTGTCATGCAGTGGAACTTAGCACGTTCGTGGCCTTGAAGTGAGGGCTGGTTTATTGGAATGGTATTAACCAAATGACATGTTTACTATAACCAGCAAGATAGGTAATATATAGAATAAAATATAGCTAAATTCTATGATACTTTTAAAATTTTTTAGCGTACTATGAAAAATTTTAATTAATAATAATTTATACACATATTTAAATAATAAATTTATTTAATGATAAACTATTATATTTACATTAAAATTAAATAAATTAAAATTTAAAAATAAAATAATAATTTTATTAATATATTTTTTATATTCTTAATTCTATTATTATTAATATTTAATTATTATATTAATATATTATGTTATAATTTTTTTATTTATAATAAATAAAAATTATATTCTATTCGAAACTAAAAATATTTATATATATGTCTAAATAATAAATTTATTTAATAATAAATTATTATATTTACTACATTTAAATAAGTTGAATAATGATTAAGTATTTAAATAAAAATAAGATGCAATAAAAATTAAATAAACTAAAATTTAAAAATAAAATAATAATATTATATTAATATATTATATTATAATTTTTTTTATAATAAATAAAAATTATTTAAATATAAATTATATTTTATTTAAAACTAAAAAATTATAAAAAATTAAAAATTAAATATATAATAATAATAAGATTATGTAACAAATAATATAATTTTATACAAATTATATATAATATATTTTTTACGCGACTTTTTTTTATTAGTATAATTTTTTTAGTTACAGTGTTTATAAAAAAAATTTCAAGATATCACAACAGACACCTATATCTTAGTGTAATTTATTTAACTTTTAACTTTATTATTACACTTTAATTTATTTTTAGTGTGTGTTGTGGTATCCTCAAATTTTTTTATGAATACCGTACTCAAAAAACTTTTACCAATAAAAAAGAGATATGTGCCAAGTTAAAAAAATATTATTATATATAATTTATATAAAAATTATATTATTTGTTACATGATCCTTTTATATATATATATATATATATATATATATATATATATATATATATGGTATATTAAATTTTTTTATAATTTTTTAGTTTCAAATAAAATATAATTCATATTTAAATAGTTTTTATTTATTATAAATAAAAATAATTATAAATAATATATTAATTTAATAATTAAATATTAATAATAATAAAATTAAGAATATAAAAAATATATTAATATAATATTATTATTTATTTTAATTTTTAATTTTTTAATTTTAACTTAAATATTCTTCAACTTATTTTAATATAATAATTTATTATTTAAACATGTGACTAAATATTATTGATTAAATTTTTGTATGTAAAGTATCTATAAATTTTTTATGGATAGCACATACGTGTTTGTTTATTGTACGACAGATAATATGAATAAATAAAAAGCTTAAAATAATTAAAATGCACACATATTATTCTACAATTACCACTATTATATTCCACTGTGCTAAGAAAAACTAGTAATATATTTTCTCACACACTTCTCTAATCACACTTTTTATTACTTCTAGTACCATAATTATCTTACTAGTTGTTTTCCATGACCCAGAAATAGAGTCGTGGTACTATACTTACTAGTTACTCAGTTCGTTTAAGCACGGAGAAGTGGAAGCAACCTGTGGAAGAATCCCAGAGAAGTCCAATTTCATCACCTTTCTTCAACCCCCTTCTCTTGACAAAGTTTCGGTTCCAACCTCCAATGAGAACAAAGTTCTGAAAAGAAGCCCAACGCTTGAGAATGAGAGCGTGCATGGTCATGGTGTCAGCATCCCAAACCCTAATGGGGGTTCCCATTCCTCTTTGAGCATCGGCACCAAGCACGGGCAGCATCAAGTTCTCAAGCAAATCTGCCCCAAACAAGAGTCTGTTCAGTTTCCCAACATCACTCTTTGTCAACACTTTCTTGATCTTCCATGGGTCGTCATAAAGTTCAAGTGATGTTGAGCAGTCCCAGCAATTGATGTGGCTTTTCTTCAAATTTCTTCTGTTTGGGTTTGGCCACCATGTTTTCTTCGTGCTGTTTGTCTTGGGATTGTAGTGGGTGGTTGTGGTCGCACCACTGTTCTTGCTTTTGCTTTGGAAGGTGCTTGAAAGTAGCGATAGGTCTGTGGAAATAGCAGATGAATATTGGTGACCATTTTCTCCTTGTGGACTGTTTTGAGGGTCCTTCAGTTGGCAGTGCATGAGGATTGGGGAGATTGGAGGATTGTTGGAAAAAATAATTTAAAGCTTGATTCTTTCTATGTTCCATTTTGAAGCAGAGTAGTCTTTTATAGAGAATAACAAGCACTGAAGATGTAAAGGAGTGGCTACAATTCACTACTCCTTTATTATTCATGAGAAATAGTGATATTTATTACTGTGAATGTTTATTTGGAATTGTTTTTGCAGAAATAATAACCTAACTGTTGACTCTTTTTTTTTATAAATATCTACTAAAATAAGTATATATATTTTAAAATAAATTAAAGGAAAAATACGATTTCTTATCACATTTTTTTATTGAAGTAAAATTTGCTTGAGTTTTGTCATATAATAAATGAAGCTCGTTTTGTAAAACACCTTATTTGACTAGAATAAACTTCGGAAACAATCATGTTTGAGACCTTGGTATGTGTTTCTTTATTTAAGTTATAAAATAAATAAATAAGACTCGTTAAATGTAAAGTCAAATTTATATATCTCTAATAGACCCCATATAAAATTAGTAAATGCTGTGGTACTCTTAATAAATTTTCAGGTACCGTAAATAAAAAATTTTAATTAATAATATTTATACACATATTTAAATAATAAATTTATTTAATAATAAATTATTATATTTATTACATTTGAATAAATTAAAAAATGTTTAAATCTTAAAATAGAATTAGAACATAATTAAAATTTAAAAATAAAATAATAATATTATATTAATATATAATGTTATAATTTTTTATTTATAATAAAAAATTATTTAAATATAAATTATATTTTATTTAAAATTGAAAATTATAAAAAATAATAAAAAATTTAATATATAATATATATATAATAAGAATATATAATAAATAATATAAATAATATAATTTTAAATAAATTACATACAATAATTTTTTTAACTTGCTACTTATCTCTTTTTTATTAGTATATATTTTTTAAATACAGTATCCATAAAAAAAAAAAATTTAGGATGCTACAACACATACTTATAAAATTTTTATAAAATATTATATTGGAAAGAATAAATAGATTAATGATGATTCTTTAATTTCATATAGTTAAAACACGTTACAAGTGAAATTTAAATTAATTATTATACCTTATTTTATAACCAGTGTGTATGAATTTAGTATTTAAGTACTAATCACGTGAGCCGATATGACCTACATTTAATTATTCAATGTAAGAAAATTGCCTTATGCTTGATATAATTGAAAATCCTAATGAAAAATCTTCATACTGCATGCGACAACAAATTAAAAATTAAGATCAAATCTTAAAATTACATAAAATTAGATTAACAATATTGGACAAAACTCTACTATGAGTCCTTTATATCGTAGGTGACTTTTTTTTCTGTTATTGTATCTATTCAAAATATCTCTATATTTCAATAATTTTGGATTCATTTTTTAGTATTTTATGATTTGAGTCATTGATAAATTATTTTTTTAGAGGGGTAGGTTAATTATACTGTACGCAAAATATTGGAATGGATAGAAATAAGAAAAAAAATAGTGAAAAAACTTTATTTTACTTATTTAGATCTATAAAAAAGAGAATAAAATAAATAGCTTATATAAAAAAATTATTTTTCACTCAAAATTTTATTACTTTTTTCATTCAAAATTCCACCACTTTTTTTAATTCAAAATTTTATCATTGTGTAAGAAAAGTCTTTATATATTTCACAAAAGATATTATTTTTTCATTCGTATAAAACAAATTTTAAACACATACAAACTTTATTTTTGTATTTTTTTTAAAGAATCAAATGCAAATAAAGCTTCACATGAAATTAAACATAGATAAATTAAATGATTTATATATAAAAAAAGATTACGATAATCTATTCCCCTCTAAAAGGAGAGAGGATAAAAGAGAAACAAAAAGTCTACTTGAGATTCATGTAAAATTTGGTTGATAAAAAATAATTCATATAAATTTTCTCACTCCATTTTTTGTTTTTGGATGCGAGAGAGCGAAAGAGTGTGTAATTTTTAAAATATGAGCATTTTTATTTTAAATAAATTATTTATTTCTTATTATTCACTTGTTTATTTAAGTAATTAAGAGAAACTCTTTTTTTTTCCCTTTCTTTTTCACATATTAAATAATACAAAAATTTACGTATTTTTAATTAATATTTTTTATTTCTACTACTTATATTCTTTTTAGTTTTTTTTTCTTCAAATTTTTATAAAAATAAAAAAAATGTAGTTTTCACGGTTCGACTAAGCATCCTATCGACTTTCATTACATGTTATTAATTTCTAATTCTTGAAAATAAAGAATTTTATAATTTTTTCTCACATTCTTACATCACTATTTTTGAATAGCATATATCTTTATTTTCACATTAATTAAAAGTATAATTTATTTTCTAAAGAGTATGTAAATTTATTAGTTGCTATATTTTTTTTTAATAATGAGGTCTTATTTATTTAATTTAATCATATTTATATTAATAGAATATTTATTTTTAAAAATTTTCAAATTTCAAAACTAATGCAAACAAAAATTATTTTTTATCTAAAAATATTTAAATATTTTCATGGTATACTATATATATATATATATATATATATATATATATATATATATTTACACACATCATTAAAACCCTGAATAAAGTTATTTATGGAATAGTTTGATTTTCGCTTAGTAATACGTTTATGAGTAACGTTTTAGTAGTAGAACTTGATTGATCCTTTTTCGTAATGATATTAATTTGTTTGTAGTTTTTTTTTTAAGTTTAAAAATATGCACAGTATTTATGAGTTTATTTTCAAGAATTTTTATTATAACGAATTTTACATTATCAATCAATAATATATTTTTTGCATTTATCACAAAAGTCAATAATTTTAATTAATATAATAATTCATAATTAGATGATAATATAATTTTTTTACACAATCATAGTATTTATTCTAAATTCAATATTTATAATATTTTTAAAAAATGTATTTCTAAATTATCAAAGTTATTGCTAAATGATAAGCAAAAATACTATTATGTTGTTTTTACTTTACTTTTGATTTGGTGTTGTAATATTTCTAGGTTCATTTTGATTTTTTAGTTTTAATTTTTTTTGTCAAGATATTCATTTTAATGATGGTAAAAAATTGTTACAATTAGGGAAATAAAGTCACCACAATAAAAAAGAATCAAATTAAAACTAAAAAAGAGATAATAATCAAAACAAAATAATAAAAATTTGGTAAAAAAAATGTAATAATAATAATAGCAACGTCGTTCCAAAATTTTTCCTGAAAGATGAATAGAATTATGTGCACATTAGGTCAAGATCAGGCAATAACGACAGATGTAAAACAAAATTATATTATCAGAGAAAATATATCCACCATAAATGAAAACGAATTTAAAAAGTTACCTGTTTCTTGTGAAGGATACTGCAGAACAAGAGAGTACTTAGGTACACGAGGCATTACACTAGATAAGAGGAACTTGTCATGGGATCTCTACAATATACACCTTGAGGATATGTTCAACATCAATCTTCAATCAAGGAATAATTTTAGAGATATTAATAAGTGTTTTTTATGCCATTGTTAATTTGGAAACGAAATAATGCATGTTTTACAACTTCAACATCATTGAAAAAGTTAAAAGTCGTAACTTGTAGTGATTGGTGGCAATTAAAATGTAGAATATTAAAATTACATAAGAAGTTCTCAAATAAAAATCAAACAGCTGGTGTCTGGTAACCAATAATGTGTCTTTCAATTTGAAAGATTTTTGTTAAGAGTTATCCCCGCCTAGTGATAGAAAGGAGAAAATGACTCTGCACAAAATAGAATATTAAAAACCAGCATTACTTATTCACATTCCTTTGTCCCCACTACAATTCTGATTCAGAAGATAGAAATTATTTCTTTATTCCTTTAGAAAAAAAAGGGGAAAACGTGATGCTTAAAAGAGAACGAATATTCATTACCAAATAAAAGAAAGAAAGAAAAAAAACTACAAAGTACATGGCACAATTTTAGAATTATTTTACTCTGATCTTAAATTACCGTTGCATATTGTCATTACCACATTTTCTTAATAGTAGTTCTCAACTGCTAAGGAAAAGCTTACATTTGCAGTTAAGTTAGTAATACTCAAAGGTTCCTACGAAAGTCTAAATTAAGATATTATCCCGTTGATGATATCTAAATTAAGATAATATTTTTAAAACAATTAATTAGTCAAATGAAACCTCACTTCTAGTTATTAATCTTAAGGGAATATCTTCCTCAATGGATCCTTGTCTATCTCAAATTGACCGTTTTGTTTAAATAAATCAATCACATTCAGAAATGAAGTAAAGCAAAGAGAGAGAGAAATTAAAAATAACAAAATAAAGGAAAAGAAAACAAGATCATGTGACTCAAATTAAAGAAAATATAAAAACACATTACGAGGTATATTCAAATAACTCAATAACCCTTTGTGTGTGCAGTAGTGGCACGTGTAGTAAATATACATACAAAATTCCTCTTCCTCTCACTGAAGAATAATAGCTGGGAATAAAAAGACAATGACCAAATGCTCAAACCTATGGGCTGAATTTCATGGCTCAAGCAAGTGCCAACAAAATAAAAAGAATTCAAAAAAAAAGAAAAAGGAAATATGCATGATCAACCATGCCAAAAAAGTCTTTGACATGATTATGAATAATCATAAAATGTCTAAATAGACATTATTTTATTCTATTTAATGTTTGTATATATTTAAGTCTCATATTTTACTATTTTGTACACAAGCATTCAATTGCCATAGAAGATAGCAAGTAGCATATTCAGTCTTCATATAATTCATCTTTTTTTTTTTACCTCTTGTTTAGAAGAAATTTATTTCTTTTTATTTTCTTTTGAATATTAAAATTATTTATATTATATTTTTAATTATATTTCTGTTTAAATAATTGTTCATAAGTTATTTCAAATGCTTCCCGTATATGTCTGTGTCTTTTAATTATTGTGTGATTAA